GATGATGATGATGATGATGATGATGATGATGATGATGATGATGATGATGATGATGATGATGATGATGATGATGATAGCAAAAGAATCATTAAATTATTTAAATCAATCATATAATATCCAGTCAAAAATTTTACATCTAGGAAATTTTAATTTAATACAAACAATAAAATCATTAATTCAAACAAATTGTGCATTAAAAAACTGGAAATTAGCACTAAAATATAATATGATTTTATTAAATAGTTATAAAATTCTGTTGCCTGATACACATCCATTAATTGGATTACAATTATATTCTATTGGTAAAATTAGTTTACAAATTATTGACATCAAAGATGAAGAAAAAAACAATGATGTGGATACTGATTTTGATAAGAAAAAAAATGATGACGATGATGTTAGTGAATTAGAAAAAAGTATAGAATATTTTAGAGGAGCATTGAAAATTCTAGAGATTTCTTTTGGATTAAAGAATCAAATACGAAAATTTTGTTTAGATAATTTATGGGATTTGGAAAAAGAACTGGCAAGAAGGAAAAGAATCATGTCATTTCAACAAACAAACAAACAAACAAACAAATAAAATAAATAAATAAAATTGTATCATCTATTATCTTGCTTGCGTTATTAAACAAAAAATTATACATGTGTATATATTAATAAAATTTTTTTGTAATAAATGCTTCTTTCATAATTAGTTTATTTACCCATTTTAGCATTATTGACTTCTTGCTTAAGACTATTATATTCTGTTACAGCTAATTCAAGGTTATTTTTTAATATTGAAACTTGGTTATTAAGTGATTGTTTGACATCTTGCATTTGAGAAATAAGTTTTTCTGCCAATTCTACATTTTCCAGTTCTAGAAGGTATGCTTGTTTGTAACTTAATAATTCTTTAAGTTCCGCAACAGCTGATGACAAATTCTTCCCAGATAAAGCTCTTGTATATGAATTTGATGCTGCATCTTGTGTTTTGTTTATCTTTTCATCTAATTCTGCCAATTCTTTTTCCAATTTTTCTTCCTCCACTTTTGAATTAGAGGATGATTTTGATCGCCAAGATGGGTCTTGAACCTCATTATAATTATAATTTAATTTACCCTTCAATAAAGAAGTTTTCAAAGCAGATGGCATATTATCAGGAATACGTTTTCCCTTACTCCTTTGGTTTAATATATGAAGAAATACTAAACTTTGATCTTTTCCAAGTTTTTGTTCAAAATTAACATCAGCAAGATTCCTATATATAATAAATAATTTATTTAATAATAAATAAAAAAAGGAACTTAATTAAAAAATTAAAAATGTTTTTTTATTAATAAATTAATCATACCATGCTGCTATACCTTCTTCTCTTGATATGCCAAGTCTTGTATAAAGATCATCAAAACTTGTAACTAATCATTAAATTAAGTACAAATATAAATATTAAATTATACAAATAAATGTATATGAGAAAATAAAAGGCAGCTTACATCGAACATATCCATTTTGGTCTACTTTTTTTGAATATTCATTCTCATAGTTAAACTTGTCGGCTGGTGGCATGTACCAATCAAAGTCGTCTGATAATGGTGCAGCAGGGAAAGAACCAAAACCTGGCTAATATATCAAAACATTATATGTAGATAGATATATAATATGTACATATCGAATAATTTTCATGGATTGACTGGTACCTGATGATGACGATTAGAAATTGCGGATAATGAAGAAATTGATGATAATGATTGCATTGATTGTGGTGGTGTAACTTGTGATACATTTAATTGATAAGGAGATATTATATTTGACATGTTGGAATTAGTTGATGAAGAGTTAATAAATTGTTGTTGCTGCTGTAGTTGTAATTGTTGTAACTGTTGCTGCTGCTGTTTTTGTTGTTGTTGTTGTTGTTGTAATTGTTGTTCTTGGAACTGCTGCTGTTGCTGTTGTTGTAGATTAGGAAGAGAACTTGTTGTTAATTGTGGAATTTGAGTTATTGATTGAGTAGGATAAATTCCAGAATTTATTAAGGAAGTATTTGAACCAAATGTATTCCCAACACCACTATTAACACTTAAAAGATGACGAACTTTACTTGGAGGAACTAATTGTGGTGGCAGAAATTTTGGTACTTCTGGATAGACACGAGCTAGAAGATCATTAACTAGTCTACACGTCACAGTAAACTCATCAAAATCAAGTCTCCCATCTTTATCAATATCACATAAATCCCTTTTTAAGTTAATGGTTGATTTAATAATATTCTATATGAGTACATTATTTACATATAATGTGTAAATATTTTCAAATTCATATAAAAAACTTGCCATATCTTTTCAAGCCAATGTACTGGTAGATTTGATTTAATTAGCCAATCTTTTGCTTGAATACCTGTAATATGACCACTTGGTGAAGGATTAAGTTGACTAAATAATTGAAGATATTGTTGTTTCTCTGCATCACTAATGCCACTCATTTTTTTCCTATTATTGAAATTTATAAGTGCCACGAAAGCCAAATTTTAACATTAAACTTGGTACAACGTTAATTGATATTTTTGGTATGCAATTTATTTCATTACAGTACCCAGCTCATAGATATATACAACAATGCAAAAAGAAATTTTAGAAAAAATATGGAAACCGCGTTGTGAAATAATGCTAATCAATGAACATTCTGCTGGTATAGATAGAAAGCAAAAACATAAAAAGAAACCATTAAA